GAAGCAGACTAGCTCTGAAAGGGCCAAAAAGATTCTAGCAATACTTGGCTCTCAACAATAAGCATTAGTCAAACTGTTAATTCCATCTGCTCCCCTCCAAAAAAATGACAAAGCATTACATGGTGGTGCCAGGGGTCTCAGGCTCCATTGAGGGTGTTTTCTTGAAGGCATCCATTTCCACAATATTAAGATACCCTCAGGCCCTCCCTGGTAGTGCAGCAGTTAAAACACAGCACTACGAAGCTAGCTGCCACTTTAGCAAGAGTTCAATCCCCTGGCCAGGGAGGTGATCCACATGGCATGGCAGTCCTCTCCTGTCTCACCTGCTGCTCCCCTAAGCAGTGTACTTTGTTACTCTGCCTGTTCTGCTCCCCACTCTGTCTCTGGTGAATCCTCTCATTGCCCCTGCACCTCTGGCTTATATCCCAGTTTTGTATGCATAAATAAATAAATCTTTAAAAAAAAAAGATACCCTCTGATCTTATTTTTTTGCATACTTCAGGAATCATGATACTACAGGATTGAAAACTTTAATGCTGATAGCAAAGAGATGGACTATCTTTGCTGTCATATTCTTTGTTGGAGATGTTGTTTCTAAATTGTCTTCCTTTCTTAATCTCAGCTCCTGAATTCTAACACGTCTATCTCTTCAGGGTCATATTTCCAATAAATATCTTATCTTCTTGAATTTCGTACTTCTCATTGTCCTTACGCATATACATAAACAAATATAACATTCCTTCAACCTAGAACCCACTAAAGTGGTTCTCAACCATGCTTCTAACAGTGGAATTAACTAGGAAGTTTAGAATATCTATGCAGCTACAATAACAAGATTAATTGATGGTTTCTTGGGATGAGAGAAAAACATTATCAAGGGACAGCAGGAAATTTTGAAAGTGATGAATAAGTTCATTATTTTTATTGTGATAATGTTTTTATGTGCATAAACATATGTCAAACATTAATTGTACACTTTAAATATATGGAGTTTATTATATGCTAATTATATGTCAATAAAGCTGTTGAAATAAATATTGATGCCTGATCCCACACCACCCCTCAAACTGAAATGGGGGCTCCTTCTAGAAATCAGGATTCTTAAAGGTGCCCCAAATTATAAATGCACAAGACTGCCAAGTACACTTACAAATGTACAATGGTAGACAAGATAGCTATCATTCTCTCTCTTCTTTAGATTCCTTGAAATGCCTCTTCCAAGCAGTCTTCTTTACCATCACCCATTCTTTTTTTTTTAATAATATAATAGTTTATATCATTTTGTGCCTTTTCCCATCTCAGCTGCAATCCCCATGGACTTCCCATCACCAGTTCACCAGTATGCCATCACTATAGTCCAGTGCACTTCCCCCACCCCCATTTTTAATCCCATTCCCCACTCCACCTCTATAAAATGTCTCTGGTATATAGTTGTTCATTATTATTATTTTCTCCCCTAGTCCTTTATATTTCTTCTATGAGTGAAACCATCTGGCATTTTCCCTTTTCTTTCTGGCTTATTTCACTAAGCCTGATCCCTTCCAGCTCCATCCATGTTGCTGCAGAAGGCATGTACCATCACCCATTCATCAGGTTTCTGAACCATCTCTCAGTTAAAACTGTATTGCTAATGACACCTGTGTACTCCTAACAAATTCACTCGTTCCTGGAGTCTTCTCCTTACTTGCCATCTCTCTACAGCATTCAGAATTGTTGACACAGCTCCTCTCTACTTGAAAAATCTTTTCATTCTTAATATCTTTCTTGATTTTCTTCCTGCCTTTCTCTAACTACTCTTCTACTCTTTCTACACTATCCTACCTATTTCTAGTTTTACCAGAGGTTGTTCTCTAACTCCCGCTTTCATCATGTTAAAGACTTTCCCTAATAATTTCAATGTAACCAGATCAATACAACTTCATTCCTGACTTCATTTATAAATTCGACACCCATTGATCCAAACAACTATCTGTATCTTCACCCAAATGTGCCACAGCTTTCACAAATTCAAAAATTTCAAAACAGAATTTATCATCTTCCCCTCATTATGTGTTTCTCATTTCCAATTAATGGAACCAATCAAATCCTCAGAGATGTGATTCCTCCTTCCTTCCTCCCAAAGACCTATCAAATTCTACCTCACACTGCAAGAGTAAGCTTAAACCACAAATTCATTAAAGGGCATCTTATTTCTCATCTTCAATCTAATCCCTTAGCCAAGAGTAAACTCCTCTTGTCTGGTCCTCTACCAACCTCACTATTCTCATCTTCCACTGATTCCCTATTTAATCCCTATTGTCAAGTCACATCAATGTCAATGTTATTCACTTTGGCCTTGTCATGGACAATGATTTCCCTAACCCACCATGTTTTCTCATGGCTCTTTACCTTCTCATTTATTATTTCTTCCATTTAGAAAACATCATTTATCTCCTGTATGTGGTAAAATCATACCCTACTTTAAAACCCTACTCAGGGCTCCTGACTAAATTGAGTTAGCCCCCTCCTACTCACTCCCTTATTACACGGGGCATATCTCCATTCACATATCACAGGGGATTAGTCTTTACTCCCTTTGTGTTGTACATTTGACAATAAATTCCTAGAAAATAAGAGTTATGACCACCATATGTCTGTACCCCTAATATCTATTCAGCATGGAGTAACGTGAATCTGATTTGTTTGACATAATTTCCATTATTTTAAAAATGTAAACCTGTTATCTCCAAAAATGTCTTGAATATGTAATTTTTTAAATTTCTTTTTCATCTTTTTTTAACTAAAGAAACAATATATTATAATGTTATATTTCAGTTGTGCATCATTAAAAATCAACATCTCTGTACTACATTTAATTTATCACTAAAAGTCCGATACTATCCTCCACCATACTGTTGTCTCTATTACCCAATTTACCTGTCTCCTCTGCCTGTTCCCCTTCCATGTGGGGGGTCTTATATTTATTTTTGTTTTATTTAGTTCATTTGTTTGGTTATCCTATATAGCGCATTATAAAATACATATTAGGCAACAGGATCCTGAAAAAAGTTGACTATATAGTTAAACTCTGTCAAAACAGGTGCAGTCTACCTCTCCTATGTCACCTGCTGCTTCCCTGAGCAGTGTATTTCAATAAGTATGCCTTTTCTGTTCTCCAAAAATAAATAGTCAAAACATTACTCTAAAAAAAATGCAACCAAGGGCCCTCCGTGGTGGTGCAACAGGTTAAAGTTCAGCACTATGAAGCTATCTGCAGCCAAGCAAGTTCAATCCCGGGCCAGGTAGATGACCCACATGGAGTGGCAGACCTCACCTGACCCACCCACTGCTCCCCTCAGAAGTGTATTTTAGTCAATCCACCTGTTTTGTCCCCCATTCTGTCTCTGCCTCTCTCACATACACCCCCAAGGCCTGTAACCCCAGTTCTTGTATACATAAATAAATAAAATCTTTAAAAAATGCAACCAAGATTTCATAAAATAGAAACAGAGCAAAGAAAGGAAGCATAATAGGGAAAACACACCAATGCCTCCTTTGGGTGTCCGTGTCCAGGAAATGTTAAAAACAATAACTACGTTACTATTGACCAAGCAGATCATAAAGATTTTTTTTTCTTTGCCTTTCCCTGAACTTCGAAAACATGCTTGACTCTTTGGATTAATACTAATCTTCTAAAACTCAAAGCATATTAACCTAAAGAAAAAATGCTTATAAACTGGGTAAAGGGGTGGATAGGGGAGGATAGATATCAACAGAATGTTCTTATAGAAAACAAACCTCCCTGGACTATCACATTGACTAAAGGTTATAACGATTCTTATGACTATGCAGATAAGATTTTAAAAGTTGAAAATCTCAAACTGCAAAGAATTACATGAACCAAAGAGGTGACATGCTGCTTCAATAACTACTATGTGACCCAAACGGCACATAATTTGTTAAAAGGCAGCTTGGCTCCACTGCCTCTGGTGTGGTCTCTGAGATTAAGTAGTAGTTACCAGTACAACAAACTCCCCCTACCTGAAGAACCGAGAGGCCGCAGGGTGTGTGATTGAAATGTTCAGAGAACCGGTTTTTGTGCAGTACGAAACCACTAGGGCATATTTTAAATCTTTCGGGAATGTCTTAACTCTTGAGGATAGAGAGCACACATGTGCATGTTGAAGGGAGAATGCCCAGTTTTGCTGAAGCTTGAAAACTTGCGAGTCTTAAACCAACAATTTTCAGACAAAACCCAACGATTCTCGAATACGTTAAAACAGCCTCGGGAGAGAAATAACTCAGAAGAGGACGTGAACTGAAGAAAGCTCCAACGCTATAACCAAGGAAGGAATCATGACTGCTTTCTGAATCTCTCTGCCCAGCGAGGGTCCAAAGACCTACGCGACTGCTGTTGCAAAAAGGATGGGGGTCGACGGTGAACATTTTGGCCACTAGGCTGGACAAATAGCGGTAACCTAGCAGGAGACCAAGGGAGAGGATGGAAGGTGGGAGAGGTGGGAGAGGTGGGAGAGGTGGGAGAGGTGGGAGAGGCCAGGCCCGAGCATCTGCTGCGAATGAGTGGAGGTGGGGAGCTCCCACCCCAGGCCGACCCTTCAGGGGCTGCGGGTGAAGCAGAGGAGGCTGCACCCGGGTCACGCCTGGAGACTGGACCGCTCCTCGCCGAGAAGGAGAAAGACCGAATCCGCGCGTCTGAAAGTGCCGCCGCCCAGGCAGCGAGCGGGCTGCACCCAACTTCGCGGCGAGAAGCCACCGGCCGCAGCCCACCCACCCGGCCTGGCCAGACGCACGCCCCTGAGATCCCCAGAACCCAGTGCTGTCTCGCGCCCACCCGCGGTGCCTCGCGCTGTAGCCGTTACCCTCAACGAAGCCGCCGCCCCAGGGACAAAGTCCGGGTCCCCTCCCAGCCGCCGCCTCGCCCCGGCTCCTCCCTGACAAAAAAGTTATCGGTCGCCGGACGCCCTGGGGGCCCCGCATGAGTATCTCACAGCCAGACTCACCAGAGTGGCTCTCCGAACCCCACCTCCAGAACCTCGACTCGTCCGTCTCGCAGCGACAGCGACGGCGGCTGCTCTGCTTTCTCACGAGTAGCAGCACCACCTGCCCCCCTTCTTCCTAGCAGAACGGGTCCCGGCGAGCCATCTTCCCCCTCAGCTCACAGACTGACAACCCAGCCCGGAGGGCCGCCACTGCCGCCAGCCACTCTGACAGGCACGTCAAGGGACCGGTCCCAGAACAGCCAACCAACACCGCCCCACGCCAATTCGACCTATCGCCTGCCCCTGAGGCGGAACTAGAACAACTTCTCCACCAATAAAAATCCTCCTGTGCTAGACCTGGGGCGGAGCCATGGAATGGGAGGGAGAGAGACTTACGTGGGCGTGGCCTGAGCAATGGGCGTGGTCAGGGCACCGAAGTGGAGATGATTGACTGTAAAATTTGCTGTCGCTGCTAGGCGATAGCGTTCAGTGAAAGTCCCTTAGACTGTGAGTCTTTAGGGTTTATCGCCTTTGAGAAGAAAGTAAGCCTTGTAGAGTGATGTTGCAGAAGAAAAACTTACTGGTATTTTAATTTCTTCTCCCAGTCATTCTTGTTGCAGGGGCTTATCAAGTGTTACCAAGTTCCAGGAGGAAAAATAATACGTTTTTGCAAAATGGTTATAAAAACTCTCCCCACCTTACTATATTGTTCTTGACCTTAGCCTGGAAAAAGTCAAACACAATTCCTAGATATTCTTTCCAAGGACTGCTATTATTTTCTCCACTTTCCTTTCCTACTATTCTCCCATCACACATGAAATATTTTGTGTAATGACTCAAACCTGAACACAGCTGAACCATTTCCTGCATATAGTCCTCCATTTTTTGACTTTAGCAATTCCTACCACATCCCTCTCAAGTCCAATTAGAATTGATTAGAAGAAAAAGAAAACTTTAACCTAAAAGGCAGGAAGTCTATAAGGGGAAGGACTTCCCGGCATCACTAAGTGATATTTTCAAACCGAATGAACACATAAATACAAGAAAATTGATAAGAAAATATATCACTTTACATCAAAAGATCATCAAGTAAACAATTTCAAGCCACATTAAGGCACATCTTTAAAACTAACAAGATCCCTCCCTTCCAAGAACATAGCTTATGTTGTTATTACAAACAAAAATTAACAGTCTTGTAAAAATAATAACAGAGAATCTCCTTGGTGACAGAAGGATTAAAGTCTCAGCTTTATCAAGTTATCACCAGCCTTGCAGCACAAGTTCAATTCCTGGCCAGGGAGCTAATCCACATGACAGAGCAGACCTCTCCTGTCTTGTCAGCTGCTCCCATGGGCACTCTGTTTCAGTGAATCTGCCTGTTCTCCCCACTCTGTCACTGATAAGTCCTCTCACACTGCACCCCACCCAACCTCTGACTTATACCCCAGTTCTTGTATATATAGATAAATTTTTTTAATCTAAAAAAAAAAAAGAATAACAGAGCTAGCTTACAATAAGCAAGGGTAACACAGAGAAAGAAATCATATTTAGGAAAATCAAAGAACTTCATGAGGAAGATGATACTTAAATTGAATTTTGAAAGGTAAATAGGAGTTTGCTAGAGAAAAAAGTCAAAGGGCATTTCAGGAAGTTGAAATAGCATGTCCAAAGGCCCAGTGCTGTGATAGGGCTCCAGTAATTAGGAAACATAGAGAAAGTAGGTGGGTATGAAAGGTGAGGAACAGTCAAAAAATAGCCTAGAAAAAAGTTTGGGATAAACTTGTAAAAGACCTCATGATCCCAGGTGAGATATTTAAACCAGCACTGCCCAACAGAGTTCTCTGCAGATGGAAATGTTCTATATTCATACTATCCAACATGATAGCCACTAGCCACTATATAAAACATTTAACACATAGCATAGTGAAGGAATTCAACATTTTATTTGAATTTTATTAACACCCGCATTGGACAGTTGAGCTTTACATTTTATTCAAAGGTAATAAGGAACCAAGGGAAGCTTTTAATCATGTGGACAACACACGATTCTTTTAAAAGTTAAGAATCTTAAAAACAATGTAGCCAGTGCCTGATTGGGAAATCTCATCTCTACAGATCAGACCAGAGTACTAGTGGCTGCTGTGTGAGACCTGAAGAAGGAGAAAGTCTAGTCAAAGGTAATCAGGGAAGCCTTAACAATAGAGTTAAACATTGAGCTGGTGGGATTCTCTGGTGGCTCAAGGGACTAAGTCAGCGTTATGAAGCTATCTGCAGCACCAGTTCCATCTGTGCATAGCACAGCAGACCTCTCCTGTCTTGCCCACTGCTCCCCAACCCCCACCCACCCACAAACACACCCGCACCACTGGCCTACACCCAGTTTTTGTATGCATAAATAAATAAAATAAATCTTCAAGAAATATCGAGCTGGTTCTTGACAAATGAGTAGGAATTTGAATCAAAGAAAATGTCTGTAGAGGACTTTCTTTGAATGCCTGGAAGGAACAGAAGAGGGGAAGCACAATATTTAGAAGACAGCCATTTGAGCTGCCCAGAGCTTAGCAAACTAGATTGGAGATAAGTAATAGCATGTCTTGAACACAAACATGCATCTTCAGATTCTGTCCTTTTGCCTAGTGGATTCCTATCTCCTTGTTAGAATATCTTAGGATGCCTTTCAAAAACATCAACACCGAAACCACTCCCATACCACAAAAATCAGAAAATTAGAGAGGGGAGGGGGTTTGGACAGAAGTTTTATTTTAATACCTTCCTAAGATATTCTAATATACACCCGGGATTGAGAGTAGGGAATGAAATCACAACATTTTACTAATTATAAATCAGGATTATGCATAGGATTGACTGAGTGGAAAGAGATTGAAGGTTGCTTACATGTAAATATTTGTTTCCTGCCTTCAAGAAGACAGGAAGCAGTTTATTGCCTGAATTCACTTCCCTTTTTGCAATGGTAAGATGACCTATAAGGCTATTTTAAGTTCTTCCTGTAAGTCATAGTAGAACCAAAAACAAATTTATGTTTACAAAGTGTGGTCTCTATCACAATTTTTATATGTAAAAAATTATTTCCATAAGGTGGGAGATTATCAATGCCTGGCATTGGGCATGGTGTATATCATACATTTGTAGAGGTATGAACCTAAACCCCTAAATTATGTAAATTTTATAAATCAACATCACCTCAATAAAAAAATACAAAATAATTTTGAAAAGGAATTTCCAATAATAATGTTATATATATAGTATCAGAAAAATTCCTCAGGATATTGTTTCAAAAAGGAAATGTATTTAATATACATTATGAAAGTCAGTATATTCCAGATCTTGCCTGCCCATCTTTGCTAGTTTCCAATAGACATAATGCTACATTAACTATAAAAGCATCTCTACCTTTGAGCAAACAAGTTTATTAAAATTCTAGTCAAACATGATGAAGTGTGAACATTTTTTCCTATAATATTAAATTTCAATAACTTAAGAAAAATTTAGCTCAAATATGTTTCTATTAAAATCAGCTAAAAAACAGGTCACATGAAAGTTTTTTCCAGCTTCATTGAGTTATAATTGACATGCTATTATATAAGTTTAAGGTATACATTATGATGATCTGATATAGATTGTGAAATATTGCCACAGAAAAATTAGTTAACATGTGTCACCTCACATAGTGTGTGGGTGTGTGTGAACATTTAAGATTTGCTCTTTTAGCAACTTTTAAGTTTACATTACAGTACTGTACAATTAACTATAACCACCAGGCTATATATATCAGGTTCTAGAAACTTATTCAACCAAACAGGAAGTTTGTATGCTTTGACCAACATTCCTCCATTTCTCCCATCTCCCAGTCCTTTCCAATGGTTACTCTACTCTTTATTTCTGTGTAAGATGACTATTTTAAATGAAAACTAGAGGAATTTTGTGGTCAAAAATACATGAAAAATGTGTAATGGTTAGTGTGCTAAAATATTTCTTTTTAAATAAAAACTAAGGCCCTCCCTGGTGGCACAATGGGTTAAAGTGTAACACTATGAAGCTCTCCACAGCCACTGCAGCACGCGTTCCATCCCAGGCCAAGGAGGTGATCCATATGGCAAGGCAGACCTACCTTCTCGCTTCTCCCCTCAGCAGTGCATTTCAGTACATCTGCCTATTCTTCTCCCCACTCTGTCTATGGTGAAATCTCTCAACCCCTACATCTTTGGTCTGCACCCCAGTTCTTGTTTGCATAAGATTATAAACCTTAATTTATGCATGCAAGAACTGGGGTGCAGGCCAGAGGTGCAGGGGCTGTGATAGAATTCACCATAGACAGAGTGGGGAGCAAAACAGGCAAATCGATGAAGTACACTGCTGAGGGGAGCAACTGGTGAGACAGGAGAGGTCTGCCTTGCCATATGGATCACCTCCTTGGCCTGGGATGGCACTCATGCTGCTCCAAGTGGATCACCGCTGGGCCCAGAGGATCAAACCCGCACTGCAGCCAGCTTACAGTGCTGTGCTTTAACCTGTTGTGCCACCGGGAAAGGCCAATAAATAAATAAACCTTTAAATAAATAAATAAATATGCTTGGTATTCTCTTCCTCTCCCCTTTAAAATTTTAATTTAATTTTAAAATCAAAACTAAAAAAGTATGCTGAAGAGGACATTCTGTCTTTCTGTGCTGATTCCCCCTTCAAAGAGAAATACTGTCATCAGTGGTCCCAGTTAGGCAGCAACCTGAGCCACAATCTGGGTCATCTAACCCCCTTCAAAGAATCATATAACCTGAAGACAGTCGGGCCTGAAAGGTGACTTGTCCAAATAAGGATGGTGGTGGCTACCTAACCCTACTCTCTTTCAAAAACCTGAACTGAAAACAAAAGAAAAATCAAACAGTTGTGGGAGAAGGAGCTCAAAGTCAAGCAATAGACACAAGTCCCGAGATACTCTGAGTAGGATAACTTATGAGCAAACTATTGTCATTAGAGAAGAGACATACAAAGGAAAGGATGAAGTAACTGGTGATAAAGGAGCAGTAGAAGTAGAGACGGAGTAGAATGAGTGACTGCTCTTAAGGGGGAGTCAATGAACTCTTGCTGT